GAATTCCAAGTTGATCGACTCGTTCGACCACTTTGTTGCCAAGAAATTCGTTTCATTGACGAAAATTGTCACTTTCCGTGCACCAGCCAGCTTTTCACGTTCTTTGTTCCATGCAGACAAATTGAGGACATTGTTGTCGCTATCTCCAATTTTCACTTTATTCAATTTCGGACAATGTTGAAGGAACGGGAGAAGAAGACTGAATCTTTCTGTATTCACGTTAATGTTTTTAAGCCGCTCAAGGCTCGGGAGTTTTCTAGCGAAGCCGAGTACTTCATCGAAAGATCCGAAATCGTTGGAAATGATTTCCAGTTCTTTGATGTTTGGCAATGAGCTTGAATTTTTGAATGGGATGCCAGAACTCTTGATTTTCAGCATTTCAAGTCCAGGAAATGCAGCAACGCGGTTATCCAAAGGATCAACATAATCAGAGACGTGCAATCGTTTGTAGAAGCCACGATCGTAAAGTTGATGGAGCAAAGCGAAGGCTTCATCCTTCTCTTCATCACGGCGCAATTGATCAATCTTAATAATCATAAGATCCAGTTGAATTTTGCTCTTCAGAAGAGTTTCTTTGTGGTACAAAAGGCAAATTAGATCAACGCCAAGGCTCTTGATCTGTGGGTTTAGCTCAAAAAATGACTTCACTTTCGATACTGACATTGCGGCGATTTCAAATGGCCAGGCAATATGCTCGAGTTTTGGGTATTCTCTAGCGAGCCATTGGTTGTCAGTTCCAATACTGTTGCCGTATATCTCACAATCACGACCGATAAAATACTTCAGATTTGGACAAAATTGTAAGAAGCAGCTATAGAGATCACCTCTGAATTCACACCAATTGAATTCAACAGTCTCGATGTTTTTGAGGATCTCTTTGATGTGATTGGTGCGTTCGCTCGTTATTACAACATACCTGAATTCGATTTGCTTGAGCTGCCCATTTTCGATCGACGCAATGTGATGGAATATCATGTCATCATCTCGATTAATCTCAATTTTCCGTATGTACGAACGAAGGCCATTCAATAACTTCCAAGGAAAAAATGACGAAATCCCACGATATTGACATTGGAGTACAGTTGCCGACAAATGATAACTGAAAAAAACGCCAGCTATAGCTTGCAACCGCTTACACGTTTGTCCAACCGAGTGAATGTCTGCCAACGAGAGCCATTTGAAGATTTCATGGAAACAAGTGACGTCGCCCGAGAAAAGTGGCGGAGGCATTGCAACCTTCGGCTGGTCATCCTGATGCAACAACATTTCATCGATATTGAAATCAGCCATCCATCCTTGATAGCAATCGACATCGTCCTTAGAAGCATCATAATTTTTCTTTTTGTTGTCCTCAGTTGCAGCGTTTGTGTTGCGATTCATGTTGTAATCCGGTACGTTCTTCTGGCTTCGTTCTTTCATATCCAACTGCCCCATTGAACTGTTGTTGGCTGCTTCGACATTGTTCTCTGGATCGTTGTTGAAGTTTTGTTGATGTTCACTCATTCCGACGGTTCGGCTTTTCCTGAAACGAAGAATAAACGAACTGAGCTCAATAGAATGTTTAGACTTATCAATGATCGTGTCATCGTCCGAGATGTCTAGCCTACCTCGAGATGTTTGTCCAAAAGATGTTTATTCAATGGTTCAACCAAATACGAAGTGTCCAATAAAAATATGGTGATGTCGATGACAAAGTGAGGTTATCTCCGTATGTATTTCTCTATGCAAATGGAAAATCAAATTGATTTCGTTATAAAAACAGAAAAAAAAACTAGCAAAAACCAATTTTATCAAATGGAATGGTTTTCGTGGAAATTTTCACTTTGACAAACATCAAAATTTACACTGAAAATGTAATCAACCAATGTCTTACCGAATGGCTAGCAATGCAAAACTTGAATGAATTACACTGCCAAATATGTACTGCGTAGCCAAAAATGTGTCGATGGTGATGACAAGTAAAGTTATCTTGGTCGTCGTTTTTCTGATTGCAAATGTAAAATTTAATTATTTTTAATATGATAAAATCATCGGAATAAAAGACTAGAACGATTTTAATATGAAATATTTTCAGAGAAATATGCACATTTCAAAGATCAAAATGTAAATAATCTTTTACCGAAAAATTTGCAGCGCAAAAATCCGCGATAGACACGAATTGAGTCGAGTCGAGTTGAGATTGTATTGTCAAATATTTTCGATGCTTTGGTCGGCAATACCATAAGCAATTGACGGGGCAAGTGTGAGTGTAGTAGTTCAACCACTTGCCGCCGTATGATTTTGTATGCGTGCATGTGACATGATGCTTGAGGCTTGAACTGATTTTGACACACAGTCTATAGACAGTGTATTACACAGATGAACCAGTTTCAAATATGCTGACAATTGTGTGATGCGGTTATGATGCCAAGTCATACGTTCATGTTGACTGATTCGCCGGCTGAGTTCAACAGCAACAGTCGTTGAAGCGACTAACTTCACAATTAATTCACCAATTGTGTTGCATGAGTAAAATATGAATTGATTGTTATTTTTCTCGATCGCTAATGCTATTGTCGCATAAACAAGTATTGACAATACAGAAATCTTGGTTTCAATGCACAAAAAACACAAATTATGCCCATGGAAATACTCATCTGAAAACTCAATCAAATCACACATAGATTTTCAACATTCAATGAACGGAACCTTTACTTCCAGTCGCGATCAATTTGCAGATGCCCAAAGTTCGAGTAATGCTGCCGACAGATGCAAAATACTTATAGCAAATAGCTTTGTGCAATGATTCTTATGCATACAAGAGGAATATAATTTTTTTTTGACTAGGTCTTTTGACCTCAATTCATAAGAATTATTCAACTTGAAGTTATTTCCTTCTTTGCTTCATTGAATCCTCAATAATTTCAAAAATTTTAATGCAAATTCATTGAAAAATCCACATAAACCTTTACTGTTGGAAATCATTTCCTGTCTTTATTGAACCGAACAACTTAGCAACAAAGATTACATTTCACTCCAGCGTACCCTTTCATACATGGTCCTGCCGCTTTATGCACTTATCAAGATCTTTTCGGTTGCAAACCACCTTTGTTTGTCATGCTAACGTGCATAATGTTCAGATCCTCAGTCTTCGGACCACCAAATACCAATGATGATGTGACTTGAGTGGCAGGTAAATCTATTTCCAATGAGACTCTTCGGGTTTTTAGGCAGAGTAACAGACAAATAGGATCCCATCATTTTGAATCAAAATTTTTGATTTGCTTAAAAACGAACTATTAAAACAACGAAAAATGAAAAATGTAATTGGTGCAAAAATGAGACCAAAAATGAGCGATTGCATTTGTTCCGAGTGTCTATATTTGTACAAAACTGTTTTGTTTACAATAAATTCCTAAAATATATTTGCCATTGATAGAGACGTCATTTTACGTTGATCTCAATTGCAAATTGTGTGGCTGTGGTGTTCTTCTTCTTCGCTTATTATTCATTTATTTTAAAAAAGAAAACTTTCTTTTTGGCTCGAGCTTTGGCTCTTTTTGGCTCGAGTATGAATCTATCAAGACTATGTTCATTGTGGTGCATACAATCGATATGAGCGAATTTTTGTCAAACTTTCGTTATGGAATGCTTTCAGACGTTGACATCGCACCAACAGATAACTGAAATAGGGCCCATCGAACCAGTCCATTTGCTGCAGAAGAACAAAAAGAATGGAAAGCATCTCAATTAGCTATGTGAAAAATTGACAAAGTAATGAACGAACTTACAATGTATTCACTGAGGCCGCACACCATGAAGCAGTCCTATGATTGAAAAATGTATGAAAATTGATTATTTCAGCTTAAATTTCGTCAATGTCAAACACTCTCCAATCAGAAATTTATCATTGATGGCATAAAAAATTATGAAAAAGGCTTTTACCCATATCAAAGTGATGGTTCTGCTGAAAAGCTGGCCAACTCGTATGACTTCTTTGCTGACAACCGTTTCATCAATGTTGATGCTTTCCAAATCGAATTTACCTTCAAAAATGTTGTACTGACACAAGAGCAATGCATCCGCTTGCAGTGAGGTTATTTCATTAGCCTGGGAAATGATCGAAAAATGAAAAATCGGCCATGAATTTCAATTGAATCGAATCACGAATTTCCTTTAAATCGAACAAACAAAATTCCTGTGGCTTATTTTCTACCAAGTGACTATTTTGTATGTAAAATCTTGAGAGAAAATGAGCCAAAGGAACTTTGTTTGTTCAATTTAAAGGGAATTCATGATTCGATTCAATTGAAAATGGTTTAAAAATCCAAAAAGTGGCGGCATTCGCTGAATAAAAATATGCTCTCCATCTGATTGAACCCACCTTCAATAGAAATATGAGTGCCAGCACAGTGTGAACGTATCTCTTTGGTATGGAATCCAGGTCAAAACGTAGCTGCACATCGATTCCAATGCTCCAAAGTAATAAGTTCCATTTATCATCGATGTTTTTGCCAAAAATGATGTCTTCAATCTCGGCCATACCTTGAGATTCACGCAAAGAAAACAAAAAATGTAAACAACTGAAGAATAACATAACCTAAAATCTTCTTACCCTCTGGATAGATTGGTGTGTACTCTCGAAGCATGTATTTTTCATACAGTGAATATTTGGTGACGATTTTTAGCATTGGATTGGTATGCGATATGCCATTCAACAGAATGCCGCCCAATTTGCGGAACACTTCGATCAATGTATCCAAAAACAATTGAACATTATTATTTTTCCCGTCTTCGTGGCGTGGCTTGAAGTCCACGAAATTCACTTCGTACTGAAACACCTGTTGATGCCAAAAGGCAAACATCAAAACATTCGCCGAGCAATAGTCATTCATAGGGTTGCGGCACTGTGCAATGTCATAATTTGCATCATATGACTGAATACTTCTGGCGATTGACTCGATGTCAATTGGTTTGCTCGAGCCAAACAGCATATATTTACCAATTTTTTGGTAGATCGACTGCGGATTACATCGCTCCGAATCGATTGATTGGCAAAAATGGGCCACTTTGATGAAATCACAACGTTTCGTTATCATGTGCCCGGTATGATCATTCCCAACAATCGTCGCAAAGTATTTTAACTGCTCACTTGTCAGCGATAACTTTTGACGCAGCTGATTTCTTTCGAAACGTTTCGCTGTCATTTGGTGCATTCGGATGGATTTTGAATCCCACCACTGAAAATCGCCTTCGAAAATGAGAAAATCCGAATCACTTGCCACCACGGCCAGCGCTCCTTTTGACATCGCATACTTTGCAATTGCTTTGTCACAATCCACCTCGGTTGATATCACCACTTTTCCATAGCGTTTGTCTTCGACCATTTTTAAGAGACTTTTCACGATTGTTTTGCATCCAAATCGCTTCTTCGTGCCATCTTGATGCGAATGCTCGTTGATCAATGCCAATGCAGCCTGGAAATCAGCATCGCGTCGTCGACACCACACATCATTTTTGTCCGCTTGCAATTGACCATCGCAGAAAAATGCCAACATAGCGCCAGCCTTTTGGAGTGCTTGCAAAAATTGTTCGAATTGATGCAAATAAATATGCTGCCGTCCACCCAGATTCAATTCAACGACAGTGGCACCGAAATTATGCACAAATCCCATCACATCGAATATGATCAACGCATTTCCATTTGCTCTATTCCGATCGAAACACACACGGGAAAAGAACAGAAATTTAAAAAAATGAAATGAAACAATTGGCTTGCTTCGACTCACTTGCGATGTTTTCGGATTTCCTCCAAGATGTCGATGTGGTGATACAGTTTTTGCTGTTTGACAAATGTTGTTAGCCCATTTACACCCATTTTGAATAGAAAATCGTTCCAGTTTCGACAATTTCCAATGACACAATGTGCACTGAAACTCAGTGAAAAAAATGAAGTCTTAATTTGCGCGATTTTCTTGTCACATAAAGTAATCATTGATTCTGCACACACTCACACACAAAGACATTGAAACGATACCGCTTTCTTCTGATGCTGAATGCGGCGGTGGTGTGGCAAAAAGAATGAGAGAGAGAGAGAGAGGCACCAAAAGCGGCTTTTGTTGTTTTTACTCTCCTTTTCGTTTAGTTCGTTGTGTAAAGCGGTGCGAGTGCTGGGACATAAACAAAACGGTTCTGTAAACAACGATATTGGTATGCGCAGCGAATGCATGTTCCACTGTGACGAATATCGACAATGTTTGGTGTATACTTTGGTTTGTGTATGATGCGACGCATTTGAAGAACATGTTCTCTCTTTCGCTCAACAAGTCCATTCCAGGCATAGTTATTTAACACATTCGAATGAGTGTTGCGTTTGAGCTCGTTGCACGGAGAGCAAAGTGGACTATTAATCCGTTAGTTTGCTGATTTTTTTTCACACTTATCCGAAAGTGATTGTTTTTCATCTCTTTTCATTTGCTTCCGATCGTTTCTCACCGTTTTCTATGCATGTATGCGTAGAATATTCAAAAGGCACGCTGTATTCCTTTGACACATCTCAGCTAAACGGAATTTGTCATACGATTCTCGTTTCCATTGTTTATATTTTGTACGCTATTCTGCTGATATCGGCAAAATCACCGCAGAAATGGAATAAAAATGATTTACTGGGCTGTACTATTTTGTATTTACTTTGTATTTGGTAGTTTTGTGCGATGCACGTCCTATAGTTCAATTGAATGGCATCATGTTTTGGAACGTTTCAAGTGACTGTTTGTAATAAATGAGTAGATAATGCAGTCGAATGCATTCGACTTTGTATCAAAAACAAATCATATGAATCAAATTGTTTGTCCGTCAATGCCTGGAAATAATGTCGTTTGATTTATTTTTTATTCTGTGACCTTTGCTCCTCTTCGTTCTTATTTTTGCTCCATTATTTTCTTTTAATTGATGTCAAAATGAAAGTGATCATTGCGATGTTTTCGACATTTGAATGTTTTTTGTTCATTCGCTTTCAAAAAAAAATTTCGTCACTGTGGTGGAAATACTCAGCTTTGATTTGCATACAAATTCAAAGACCAAATTATGTTAGACCATTGCAAAAGAACAAACCTTCACCCTGAATCAGCTGTCACCGTCTGAAAGCTAAAAATATTTTTCAAACATTTAAACAAAACTGTTGTTCTTTTATGAAAATTCAATTTCCGTATGAATTTATTAGCTGAGATGAGTTACAAAAAATGGATATTTCTTTTTAGGTAGCATTGAAATGCGATTTTTGCTTAAATATGATGTGTTCTATGTCGTAAAACATGTGAATTAATCGTTATTGAATGGTATTACTTTGAATACTTTGTTCAAACCTACGGCAAATGTTCTACTTCAGATTTGGATTAGGAAAAAAATGAATCATTTTATATGGATTTGTTTTTGTTGCGGCCGTGGTACAGATGATTCCGGTAATCGCTTTGAGATGAACCGCTTTCGTTGAACATCATCTTTGAGTTGTTGTGTTCATTAAAAATATTCTTTCCATTCGTATGAATCGGCCCGTCGAATCTCGATGAATTCCAAGTTGATCGACTCGTTCGACCACTTTGTTGCCAA